TCCCTTTTCTCCTTCTCTTTTTCCCTACTTGCTCTTATTCGCCTATTTATAAAATTGCGAGGAGAATGATCACTTAAGACCGTTACCAATGTTATATTATTATCACTGCTATTATAATTACGAATTATTAATAATATTAATATTATTATTATTATTATTATATAATTATCATTATGAAATATTCTCATTTGTCCAAAAAATGTCATCGATTATTATTATGTTAATATGTTGAATGGCATGCAGAATGTATAAAATACCAAAAAGAAGTAAATTTATTCGTTTCACGAAATGATTATTTAAATTTCCTTTTTCTATTTGTTGGAAACTATTAGCTGCGCTAGAACAATTGATTATGAATATCTTTGATAATTTTTATTTAATATTCTGATTATTATTATTATTATTATATATTATTATTATTATTATATTATATTATTATTATTATTATTATTATTATCATTATTATTATTATTATTAAATATTGTATTATTAGGCGCTTATGTTGTCACATTGCTACTATTATTATTATTATTATTATTATTGTCATATTAATAATGTCATTATTATTATTTTATTAGAGAATCATTGTCGCAACAACAATGTGGCTTGTAAAGCCAATGTGATAGAGCTTATATTGCGATGATATAGAGAAAAAGAGGACGTGCAAGCGAACGTGAAAGACGAACAGGCACGTCGACTTCATTGAACGAGGCCGAGAGATTGCGCGAGTCTAATATAATTCTTCGATTTTTTTGCATGTGTAAATATCTGTACAAAAGGAAAGGAGGGAAGGAACTTCGCGAAATATTACGAGGAAACACAAAGAACTACATATACATACACGCATACACACGTATACACACGATCTTGTATATTTACTTATCACACTTAACTATCTAATAGCGTACGAATATATCCACGCAGATTAACAGCGATACTGCACGATGACTGCACGTTGAATTTTCACCTGTCGCAGTCAGCATCGCGCATTTTGAGAACGAACTCGCGTAATCAGCTACGAAATGATGAGGTAAGAGAATTAAATCGCGTATTTCAACTGCTCGTTGCGATTTGTGAAAATGCAGCGTTCGGGCTATTACGAACGGCGTAAAGGAAGGAACACATAATTACGAGAATTTGCCGTAAATTATCGATGCCTAGAAGAAGAAAGGAGAAATGCGCAGGAGACATTTCGAGGCGATTCAGCGAAAGAACGTACGAATGGATAAACGCGTGTATGCATGATGAATTTCGTAAGAGAGAGAGAGAGAGAGAGAGCGAGAGAAAGAAAGAGAGAGAGACAAGTCCTCGAATTATTACGAATCAAACTCTAGTATATTTATCAAAATAAATTTTAATCTTCAATTTAAAAAAATTCTAGTCCGCAGTTATAAAAATAAAAAAATGGAAACAAACGCGAATGAGATATTGTACGAGGCAGAGACGTAGGAGTTGGTGAGAGTACGATCGCTGTAGAAGGGCATTGTTAAACGAGAGAGAAATCAGTGATCGATTGATTTTCTTTTCCCCCGATTCCCCGAACCTTTCATTCTTTCTTAAATTTTTCATGAATCGTCACGACGAAAGTCGACCGGAGTATCGAGTGTGTACATATATATATATATATATCGCTATGCTCGTGCGATTACGTCTCGTAATTTAATTGACGCTGATTCCGCCTGTCCACGGGTGATTCGAGTCTCACAGAACGTAGTCTGACGATCGACGATAAACAATCATGTTAGACGAGATTACTTCGGGCGAGTATTTCGTCGATCGTTCGTATATCGAATGATATTTCGATGCGACTGCGATAGAGAAAGCTCCAGATGCGAATAGATTAATAGATAAAGCGAGGAGAAAGACGGAAAACAAACGTGCGATCTCAAATCTTCGAACTAAATTATTTCATGGTAATTATATTTCACGATCGAGCATTCTTCTCTTTAATCCAATATTCTTTCGATCTTTCGACGCGGCAATCAAGTAGATGGTCGATCCTCGTCGATGACGGAGGCCCAATCGAGTCTCTCGTTCTTCAGGATCTATTGTAGATACGATATTAATGCGAAGTGATCCGATTTTAGCCGTAATCGCGGCCAAAGCGTTTAATCATTCGACGGATCGACATTTTACGATTAATTATATGTATACACGATTATGATTGTTTCCCTTTTCTTCATTTTCGCCGCGAATAAGCGTAACGCATATAAATTCTTTGTAGATACCCGATAGTTAGCCGATAGATAACCAATAGCTTTAATTATTTAAACGCGGTACAGCTTTTATGTCGAGGACTAAGATCGACGACCGTTTAGGATGTGTGTACAACGGACATGTAATATAACGTAACGAATACACAAGTGCGTAACTGCGTGCGAATGCGTTAGCGTTATCGACGACGGCGGGAAGGAGAGAAATCATATCGTAAACCTAATAATGAATATTTTACAACAAAAGATAATTGTAGATAGACATATTCAAAAGCTGTTGAGGCCCCCCAGGAGACGCATGGAGGAGAAACGCGCGCGTGCAACCCGAAAATGCACAAGCGCGGGCACACGATCAAAAGGGAAGAGTAAACGAACCACACATACGAAGGACATTGTCATCCAGTAGTGAAAATAATGTATTAAACAAAAAACAAGGTTTACCTAAAGTAATAGTCTATTGATTTGTATTTCATTTTTTCGAACTGTATTATAGCTTAAAGAGTATCCTGTACATTGCATAAACACACGAGCACTATTGTTTTAAATTGTACGTTTATGATTATTATACGAAGATAAAAAAGAAATAAATAAGGTATACAAAGTATTGAAGATATATGAGAGATTTATTGACGATCTAATTTAAGGATCTTTAATATCTCCTTTACGCACACTGCGCGCGCGTTCTACACAAGTATAAATTATAGTGTATATCCATATCTTCCATGAGAATTTTAAAAAAGTAGAACGATTTATTACAAAAAAAAATATCGATAACACAGTTACATTATCGCCTCGGAGACATTGAGAGCACGTGCTTATACTTTTTTCCCTTCTCTTTTTATTTTCCAACTTTGAAACATTTCTCTCGCCGCATTTCAAACTTTGGCTATTATCTTTTTGATTAATTTTATGTATGCATGTTTAATAGTTACGGTATGTTTTATGATTGGCAAATGGATACAAAAATCATTTAAATGACACGACTTTTTAAGGAATAAAGCGACATGGCTCAAGTCTTTCTTTCTTTTCAAATTATATATATTTCTGTAATTCAATATTAAGGATATGCAATAAATTAAAAGAACTTGTAAAAATATACGTGATAATGCAAAGAGCACTCGATGTCTCGAACACTTTTAAGTATTGTTACACTGATTATTCTCTCTTGTTATTTTGTTTTAATAAATAAATCTTGCATTCTTATCGGTTTAAAATTCATATTAGTTCTCTCTTAACATACAATAATACAATTCAACCACGAGATAAATGGAAGATTATCTTCATTGTATATACATATAATTATATTATTCATATCAATGTCTCCTTTCAAGAATTTCTAAATTAAAAAATCTGTATTAAAAATATATACATTATGCTGCTAATTATTATAATAACCCATCTTTTCCCTCTTTCCGCATTGATCTTGCTTTTATTTTATAAATGGCGGATGTGTTATTATATATCTAAGCGTTTCGCTAAAATATCTAAAAGCTCCTTGATTAATTAAAACAAATATTCTTTTCTTTCTATTCGTTCTTGCATGTAACATATTTAAAAAAGAAAATGACAACTTAATTTTTTGTATACACATTAGATAGTATATATGTATATACATATACATATATATATATATATATATATATATATATATATATTTAAATTATAACATTATTACCATGCAAATAAATAATAAATAATTAAACATGATGTTTTATACAGCTGATATTTTATATAGCTTAAATAAGATATTTTATATAGTTACAAATAAATAAACATAAATCTTGCAACGTATTAAATTATTAAAAAAAGAAATTTTTTTCTTTTTTATTACAATGTTTATTGGAGCGGCATCTTGGAGAAGAATAAAGCAACGGACAGTTCCACAACGCGTATTTTTATATTATTAATTTGCAATTGTTACCTTCAATTGTAAATATAAGTTTTATGCATATTCATGATAAAATTATTGTATATAATCTTCCTATTTAGTATATTTGATATATATAAATATTAATCATATATTTTGCCTTTAGAATATAAAAAAGAAATATGTATTTTATTAGTTTTTTTAATTATTGAGATTACTATTAATCGTATATGTAAATGTTTATAATTTTTTTTGCATTTTCCAATTTATAAACCTATTTAAAAGTATACTTTATAAGTAATTCAAAAAATAATTACGATAAGTCAATAATTACATAGTCTTATCACGTCAATGATGTTTTTTCTAAATATTTTCTCTAATATGATGTGCATAAACATTTTCTTGCACAATTTATGTTATTTCATTCTTTATAAAATGTTAAATATAAAAATATAAACACTAAAGAAAATGGATATAAATATCAAGTACATATACAAAATATGACAAACAATAAGATATTATATTATTATCATTCATATTATCACAAAAACATACACTTACTGATTTCTGTCCGAAAACTGCAAAAGAAATTCTTTTTCATTACTTCACACATAAATATTTCTATATATTTAATTATAAACGTTTTTAAATAAATATATATATATATATATGATATGAGAATGAGATAAAAATAAAACATGATGCTATGAAAATGTACATATGTCTGAAATCCGCTTGTTATTCCGATAGAAAGACGTGATAAATAATACAATGAAATGGATGAGAAAAAGAGTAGGTGTAATGTAACATAGACGCTGTTTCAATGTCTTAAGATTTAATTGACAATATGAAATAATGTATAATCAGATGAATTGTCTGAATTTTAACTTAAATTTTAATTTAAATAATTATCACATAAGTGATTAAAAGGAAAAAAAGAACCGCAAGTTTATTTTGCAAAGAAAGCACCGTTATCGTGCACACGAATGACAGTTAAAGAGCGAGTATCTTATAACACATACGTTATGTCACGAGCACTAGCTGTAATTATCGAGATACATTAATAAGAATATTATCATTATTATCACTTGAATTAAAATTATTTTGGCAACTTACGGTTCGATTAAAATTTAACATATATTTTTACATTGCCGCTCGTAAGTACGGCATTTTTCTCACCGCAGTGTGTTAATTAATTCGTATGCAGTCCATTCTCGGTGTGATTGATTTATTACACGATTGCTGTATGTGTCCCGTCTTTTTCCTTGATTTTATAAAAATTTATTTATATATGTATATATTTACGAAAGTAAGAAAATACGAAACGACACTAAGGAATTATTATTGAGATAAACGTAAACATATTATTTTAAATTACAAGGTTCGGTTCAAAGGGGCTCGGGGTAATTCTTGAGCATAGGAGGGGCAGGGGGGAGTTAAGAGTTTATAAGAACTATTAATATTAAGGTAATAATTATACAGAGATGATTTTTTTCTTTATGTATATGTGTAAATTAATTTTCTTTAGCTGTTTATTATGTAAAAGATGAATTGCGTGTGTATTTCTGTTATGTTTTCCGTCTCGATGGATCTGGATCGTATGTTGGTGGCGGTGGTTTAATAAACATGATAGAGCAGCGTGAGTTCTACTCTCGTGTTCACACACACTCTGTCTTCTTCTCTCTGCATAAGGATAGGTCAGGCTTATTCCGCTTTTAGTGGCACTGCTGTCCGTTAGCTTTATGCTGAGCATCGGTTTCTTTCTTACAGTGCTTACGGCTTTCCTATATTAACATTTATACATATAAACAATGAAAACAATATTGCCAATATTACGTACAATCATAAATAATGTAATAGTAATATTAACGATTGTTTTCATAGAACTTACCAGAATTAAATAAGTCTTTCCATTTGTATATTTGTTCATCCCCTACAAACACTCTTCTTGGCTTTTTCTCACACACCTCGCCACCTTTCTTTTAAATTCCGTATAACTTTCCCTCCACTCTTTCTGCAATAAGAGATAAATAACCGTTACGAAAAGAAGAAAAAAAAATGCGATACAATATTTTTTATTTAATCAAATATATAACTTACGGCGGCATCCACATTAGCAGGGCTCTCATCGTTAGGATCTGCGAGCATGCTAATAACACTTATCAGAATAGTTTCGACTGTGTGAACCGGTAACCACCGCTCGGATGCTTTCTCGTATCCCCATTTGTCATCACCAGGTTCATGCAGTATCGATATACACACATCTCCATTTTTATCAATGTTTGGATGCCATATTTCGGTGATAAATTTCATTCGTGGTGGCCTAAGTGGATATTCTTTTGGAAACTGTAAATGTGCCTTGAAGAAACCACCTTCGTATAATGTATCCGGAGGTCCAATAATGAGTACTTCCCACCGATATATGTCATTGTCATCTATGAGGCCTGCAGAAAACCCTTCTACTGGGTTTTTATTTAATTCTGCAAAATAGAAACAGACATATATGAGAAGTGATGCGATTATCTTACATCTATGGTTGTCAATATAATGCTCAATATAATGCTATATTATCTGGAGTAACAAGAAAAAATGCAAAAATACATATTGCAATAAATCAACATATTTTATTTCACATATGATATAACAAGCGAAAGTTGTAAATTCTCTATTGCTTTAAAATAATAAAAAGAAGCGAGAAATTGAATATCAAATTGTATTAATTTATTTAATTAATGCAGTTAAAATCTTCAAATTATAATAAAAAACTAAAAAAATGTGTATATATATTACAGTGAAAATATAGCGGAATAAGCATGGTATTGTTATAAAAATTAGAATTAGCTCCAAAAATGCTCCCTACATTTTAAGTCTAAAGATAAATCAAGATCATTGTGAAATTTCTGGACAACGAGTCCGGAGCGTTTTTCAGCAAGAGACACAATTGACAGTGTAACACACGGGTCATTTCGTTCTTGTTGTTTACCGAATGTAAACAAGGATGAAACGATTCAATTGTGTCACACTGTGTCCTTCGGGGAAAAACATGCACAGTGACGAGGTTATGTTTTCTATCAACAATTTGTAAAAGAGCATCATTCAAGAGCACACAACATAATAACGTGTACAGTACACGTGTGTGCGCTCGTGTCATGTATGACACATGTCAATCGGTCAGCGGCGGCGCGCGCTCCCATCCCCGAGACGCGCCGCGTACAGGTAGGCACAGGTACAGGTTAGGGCTCGGCCCCATGCGAAATAGTCGCCGCATAAGAGCCGCGCGGTGAGTCAGCGCGAAGGAGACGAGACACGAGGTTACTGACGCGACACGACGTTCTCTCGCTTTCTCTCGCGCACGCGGCGCGACTCCGCTCTCGCACAAAGAAGAGAAGCGAACTCCGGCGAGGCATTTTTCGTGGCGTCGATCTCGACTGGAACAGGGGAGCATTTGGCCCGAAGGCGGCTGACCTTCGATGGTCGTTGCACGGCGCGCTTTTGCTCTCTCTTTCCCTCTTTATCTTTCACACTCTCGCCAACTCTCTCTCTCATTCGCTCTCGCTCGTTCTCGCATCTCGGCTCTCCGTGTGTCTGTACAAGATATGCGTCTGAGTGTGTGTCTGAGTATGTATACATGTGTATGCACTGTCTCCCGTTTTTTCTCCCATTTTCTCTTTTTCTCTTCCACGCTCGATATCTCTCTCTGTCCTCCTTCCCGAGGATAAACGTGCGCGGCGATAGCGAGTGACGCGCGTACGCTATAAATAACAAGGCTTGCAATTATTTTCGGGCACGAGACGGCCTTCGTCCTCGACGTCGACGTCGACGACGACGACGTCGTCGTCGTCGTCGTCGTCGTCGTCGGCGCCGCCGCCGCCGCCGCGCGTGGAACCGGCCTGCGGTCGGCGACCGCGGACACGGGGGAGAGGGGGGGAGAGAGAGAGAGAGAGAGGCAGGTCAAAGTCGTAGCTCGAGGTCGCGATGCGTCGCCGCCGCCGACGACGAGGACGAGGACGAGAGAGAGCGACGAGTTACGCCGCCGCCGCCGCTTAGGTTAACGTTATTCACGGGCGCAGCACACACAGGCTCTCCGCGAAAGAGCCGTATTGATTTTCACGCCCCGTATCTGTGCGCACGGCCGCGGCGAGCCGGCGAGGACGACGTTACGGTGCGACCAGGGTCGTCCGCGGACCCCCGACGATTCCCCCGGCGAGGACGGGGGCGGGATCGAGGTCGAGGGGCGACGTCGAGCCTCGCCGAGGCACGACGGCGACGAGTCCTTCGAGATCGGAGTCACACGACCACGGGATTCCTCCGTTCGGTCGCGATTCCGCGTCCGGTTTAAAACGCACTTTAACACTCATACCGCGCTCACATAGTACCTGCTAATTGTTTTCGTAATAGCAGCGCGGACTGTGGCTCTGACATTAATAAAAGTTCAGTTAAATAAGACTAAGACTGAAAACAATCACTTTTGCTTGACTGGAAAGATGGCTAGGTACGTCGCGGAAGCGGTGACTGCGCATGCGTCGCTTGGTTAAACATATGTTCTTCCGTCTCGAGCTCTGCGCCGGTCTGATACACCACGCTAGCACCGATGCGCTCTATGGCAACCGAACAAAGCTTTTCATGGGACGTGCAATTTGCGACTGTAGATAAAACAAGTCGCTGTTGTGCTGGTAATAGATAACGGTGAAATAACGGAGGTATACAGTGTGTCGATAAAGAGGATAAGTAAGATTATAATTATCATGTTAAAAACATTTTATGTTTGATAACGAGTATTTGCGGAAGTGAATCCTTAGATTGCGAGAGGTATGTAAATATATATTTATTTATTGTATATTAAATCAATAAGAATAATGATTCAAGATAAAGAAACGACATAAGAATTGGATAACGTGTATTATGTCTATTTTATCTTGTATTGTCCACTTTAAAATCAAATGGAATTACATATTACTTTATTCAGACTCGTGACGTAAATAAAAGTTATTTATAATTATACTTCTTTAATAAAGACAATTATAAAATATCATTTTAAGAAAGGTACACACAGAATATAAAAAATATATAACAAATTATATTATAATTTTTATGATTTTTTAATATATAATTAAAATTATAAAAAATATACAAGAAATATTAATAAATTAGTAAAGCCAAATTTTGGTAATGAAAATTCAAAAAATTTCATGTTAGAATTAAAAAGATCTTATCCCAGGAATAGCAGATGTATTTTATGAAACGATGATATGAATGAAGAGAATATTCAGATATTTACAGTGATTTTTTTGCGTAAAATTAAGTTTATTCTATTTAGCAAAGAAATATATACTCGAAAAAATGAAAAAAAAAATAAAGAATAGAAACGAGAACCGACGGTTATGTATCTTTGCCTTCTCGGCAATTTCGCACGGTTACATTTGAGATTTATGGTCCGATTTCGATTCCATTTCGCGCCGCGGTTTGTTTACTTATTGGCATCCAGAATATGTGCACGAACTGATGTTACGTCCAGGTTTGTATTTGTGCTCCGATGCTATCATCCAGATTTATCTATTGTGCTATTGAGACGAGACGGCAGAATAGAGATGATCACGCGATGGGAATTCAAACGTCCTTCCATAAATTAACATCAAACTCGCAAATATTTAAAGATATATATAACGATCATTTGTGTATATATGTTATATATATTTCATTTTTGTACAGACATTAATTTAGATTTTTTTATGTATTTTCGCAGACTTAAAAAATCTACTCAAAAAACGTACCAAAAATTAAGAAGTATTTTTATTTATTATCCGATATATTTTCTTCAATATGCTATTTAATTATAGTAATAATTATAACGTGACAAAAGAATTTTCATCATTATTAATCATATATAAGCGCATTTAATCGTAGAGTGTCACACGTTAAAAAAGGCAATCGACATGTTGAAATCATGAAAATAAACGAAATTTTCTTTTTCCTAATTATAACTTGATAAGGAAACATTTTTAGATATATATGGCCATATAGTATATTTTCTATCTCTATAGAAATATTCCCATACAAGCTGTTGTGCCATTTTTTATTTAATTTAGAGGCGTTTTACATTATATTAACTACGACGTTTTATTCGCATTACATTTGCTTACAATTACAAAACTCGTTTTTATATCTCGAGTAATTTAATTTACCGTATCGATCTTAAATCAATTGCAATGCCATACGCCACCAGTACACAGTCTTTTACCGACCAGAATATTTTTATTATTATTATCGTTACCTCTTAGTTACCTCGAGCAATATTAGTATTTATCGCATGATTATGTCTTATACCGAGTTATACAGGATTACAGCGATAAAAAATAGAAATCATTAATTTCATTATCGTCATGTCATTGGGGGTTGATAGATCCCGACGTATATTGCCTTCATAAATTTAGTATCGTCTGCACTGCAAATTGTGACCGCGAGCGCGATGTATTGCCACTAGAAATTTACTTTTATATCATTAATTTTTCGCATACTTCAACAGATGAGTAATGTGAATACAAGTAACAAAACTTATGAGATTTTTTAATTTAAAGTAATTTAGATGATCGACTTTTATAAATTCGTTTCAAACTTTTTGTCTTCCAAACTTTTATGACATTTTTATTTAAATCGAAGGAAAGTTAAAACTTTTTTACTTTTTAGTTTATATATATATTTAGTTTATATATGTATTGAAATAGAAAAATTAACATATAATATCACATTGGATAGCAAGGCATATAATAGTGAATGGAACCAATAAAAAGATTAACAATTAGACACAGATCGTTATACCGACATGTAATATCACAATGATCTAAATGTTAATTAATTCACTCGTGTGTACAGCATAAAAAAATCCAGATAAATTATCTTCAAGGTCAGAATAGTATCACTAACGAACGATGTGACTGTTGAAAACGTATTACGAAAAAATTAATCCACACGATAAATTCACTTAAAAATGTATACAAATAACTCTAAAATGAAATTATAATAACTCTAAAATGAAATTATATAATACGAAATTCTCTCAAATAATAATGACTCACTGAAATTTTTGTGATAAGTCCTTTTTATTATCTCCTATTTGTAGGATACATTGCTTGACAAATGATTATACAGACGTACAATATCAGCAAATTGCTTCGTATATTACAATTCGACCAACATTCCGCACTTCTCGCCCTCATAGCTATTTACAGAATATTAATAAAATTTTAGTTTCTCGGAATATAATATAAATTCGAGAGATATCTACCGTGTATGCTCCTACATGTTTCTCCGACGTCCTAATTTCTCGCCTCTTTAGATATAAAAATCAATTCCTTTAAAAAAATGTGTAATACACGGTAAAAATATTGTGCGTTTTTTATTTCTAAGTTCATCAGGTCTTATCAAGATGAAAATTTTAAACTTTATTTGAGATGCTTGTGTACATTGGAGAAACGCATAATCGTCGAAAAAAAAAGATGAATCCATGAGCGAACCTTGGAAAACTTTAACTATGATTAATATTCGCGGACGCAGCGAGTCTCTGTATAAGCGTATAGAAAACTTTGTTTTGATCGACGACGCGCGCAAAGTTTAGAGAATCAGACATTTATTAAGATTTTTTTTCTGCTCTCACAAAGAATTATCGAGATGATTTATGAGCAGAACACGAGAATGATTACTGCCACATTGTACGTTACTTAGCAAAGATGTTTCGTATCCCTTTTCTCTCTTTTCCAGAATCTATAACAATAATTTAGAAATTCTGAAACTATTTATTCTCACTTAAAGTTTCTTATAAATTATGTATATACCTTCAAGTTAATTCTCCAAGGAAATTATTTATTACTGTATTGTAGATGAGCTTGATTACATTTTTTCCCTGAGAGATGCTCCATTCAGAAAATAAAAATATCCTAAACAAAGTTTAATATTAATTAAACGGTTAATTAAACATATTACTATGTTTAATTTACATAAATCAACAGCAGAATTTATAAGCTTTATTTAACAATAAAATAGCATCTCTGTTTGGGTAATCAAAATCAATATTCTTGTTTGCTCCGGCACCACACACATGAATATTCCTTCATATATTTTCTCGATATTTAATTTTCTCGATACTAGCGAAAATAAAATAAACAATTGATATTATAATGAAAAATTACGTTAATTCTTGTTGTTCAACAACAAGATCTAACAAGACTTTTCACATTCATGTCTATTATATTCTAAGACAATATCATATTTACAAATGTGAGTTTCTTCTCATTGTCAATAAAAGCGATCGACAGACGAGTCATAATGAGTACGACTCTATAATTGGACTTGACATTCTAACAGTAAATACTAATGTAATATTGTATCGTACAATTATATGTTAATGTTATGTACAAGTAATATTCACAATGACATTAATTTTATTAACATCATTGGTATGTATAGATATATTCGCTTTTTCAAGAAAGATTGCGATTGGCTTGCGCTTAACTTTATAAAAATCATTATAATAATTAAAGATATAAATTAAAAAAAATTACTTTTTTATTTTACTTTATCTCGATAATATTATATGTATTAAATAATTACATATATTATTTTAATGAGATGGGATGAAAATACATAATAAACACGAATTAATCATATTAATCGCAATGAATAATAATTTTGATTATATACAGGGTCTACCAAAAGTGTGGAAACCCCTAAATATCTCGGAAAATATACGTTTTACAGAAAAGTGTTTCCAACAAAAGTTGTAGGGTTTAAGAAGATCTATATACTGATTCTATCAGTTTGACCTTGGATGGCGTCGTCAAGGTCAGGTCAAGGTCACATTGACTTTTTTAAATGACACCCCCTACATTTGATTGCATATTCTTATAGCTTAAAGTAATGCATTACATGGGTAAATTTGATTGACCTTGGGTGCGTCTGAACATTCTCACTTATTTTTTAAATAACCTATTTTTCATTGCATATTCTTGTAGCTTATCTCGAGAGCTTTCCAAAACACTATAATAATGTTCATTTTTATTAAGTACTTTGCGAGTTATGAGGGTTGAAATAATTTCTTAATTTTACATAAACCATAAAATATCTAGTAAACCATTCATTTTTCGATTATCTTACCTTCATACTTTTATGTACAAATTAATGAGAGGAATCAATTGGTGTAAAGAAAACACATAGTTGTTTCTAAGAAAAAATATGTAATTTGCAATTAACAATTCCATATTTTTCTTAAAAACAACTGTATGTTTTCTTTACACCAATTGATTCCTTTCATTATTTTGTACATAAAAGTATGAAGGTAAGATAATCGAAAAATGAATGGTTTACTAGATATTTTATGGTTTATGTAAAATTAAGAAATTATTTCAACCCTCATAACTCGCAAAGTACTTAATAAAAGAACTTATAGTGTTTTGGAAAGCTCTTGAATTAAGCTATAAGAATATGCAATCAAATGTAGGGGGTGTCATTTAAAAAAGTCAATGTGACCTTGACCTGACCTTGACGACGCCATCCAAGGTCAAACTGATAGAATCAGTATAT